AATGGATAAAAAAAGTGTGTATATACACACAATAGAATATTATTCAGTCATTAAAAATGAGGAAATCCTAACCAGATTATACTGTATAGCACAGGGAAATATATACAGGATCTTATGGTAGCTCACAGCGAAAAAAAATGTGACAATGAATGTATGTATGCTCATGTATAACTGAAAAATTGTGCTCTACACTGGAATTTGACACAACACTGTAAAATGACTGAACTCAATTGAAAAATGTTAAAAATAGAAAAAAATGAGGAAATCCTATCATTTGCAACTACAAGGATGGACGATGAAGGCATTATATGCTAAGTGAAATTAGTTAGGCAGAAAGATAAATATTCTATGATCTCATTTATACATGGAATATTTTTTAAAACATCTAACAAATTCATAGAAAAAGAGTTCAGACTTGTCGTTACCAGAGGTGGAGAGGGTAGGGTAAGAGGAAGGGGCATAGGAGGAAAGTAGGCAAAGGTACAAACTTCCATTTATAAGATAAATGAGTACTAGGTATGTGATGTATAATATGATGTCTAGTACTACTCTATGAGATATATATTTTATATATATATATATACACACACACACACACACACACACATATATATATATATATATATATGAAAATGTTAAGAGAATAAATCCTAAGAGTTCTTACCACAAGGAAAGTTTTTTTCCTTTTTTTCTATTATATCTATATGAGAGATGGGTATTATATCTATATGAGAGCTGAACCTACTGTGGTGATCATTTCACAATATATGTAAGTCAAACCATCGTGGTGTATCTCTTAAACTTATTCAGTGATTTATGTCAATTATTTCTCAATAAAACTGGGGTGGGGGAGGATAGACAAATAAAATACTGAGTCCTAAAACAGAAACATGTATATATAAAGAAATTTATCATATAATGTGGACGTTGTATTCAAGTGAGCTGCAAAAGGGTAAACTGTTTAATAAAGGGTGTTGAAGTAACTGAACACTCACTTATTAAAAAAGTAAACTTAGGCCTCACCTTTCATTATACATGAAAATAAGTTCCAATGGGATTAAAGATCTCAACAAAAACAAAGCTAAAAAGATACCAAAACAAAAAGCTAAGGACCATTTGTATAATCTTTAAGGAGTTTCTTTAAAGACAGAAAACCCAGAAGCCATTAAGAGAAAGACTGAGAGCTCTAACTACAAACAAATTCAAAGCTTGTACATGACAACTGAGAATATCTGCAAATTCTACAGGAGAAAGAAGATGAACATATTTAATACATATAGAGATCTTATAAATGAAATCATCACTCTAATGCATTCTTGGTAATAGGCAAGTTAAAGTATAAGTATCCTTTTACTTTGCAATTTCACTTCTAAAACATAGCCAACAGGATATCTTATATGTATATGCATGTGTGTGTGTGTGTGTGTGTGTGTGTGTACGTACACACAAAATTTGTCTTGAGTCTCCAAGGACTTTTATTTTAGTACTCTATATAATAGGAAAAACATTTTTTTAAATCTGGTGTATATTAATGAGGATTAATTGAACTATTTTACATTGATACAAGAGTATTCTACTCAGTTATTAAAAAGAATGAAGAAGATCTATAGGTTCTGACATACAAGGTGTTATAGCTCATTTTATACATTATGACCTCATTTTTACTAAAACAAATTATACAGCAGAAGCCTCTTAACTCAATCAGGAGCAGTGGTTGGTTAACTGAAAAAAACATTAAAGCAGGGAATGATACTTCTAAGTATTTCCTTTTCATTTAAAAATATATGTACAATCATTCTCCTATCTTTGGATATAGGACCCCAAATTTTAATTATGAGTCCACCTGTCCTTTCTGATTAAACCATATCCCTAAAATACTGTTTAAGATTTCTGGTTGATTTCTTTAAAGTGTAGTGAGGATTTTAAAGCACTTGCAAAGCAATCTAAATACACACTCCAACTAGATTTGTATTTTCCCCCAATCTTTCACAATTGTCTTGCCCACGCCTAGATTATTGCAGTTGTTCTTAGCATGAGCCCTTAGCAAACCTTTTCAAAGCATTAGACTTAGATAGGAAGAATAATTCCCTTTTATACATTTTGGTTTATACATTTCATTAAAATTTCAAAATTACTGTAACAAACAGAATAAAAGGTTTAGAAACAAACAAGATTTCTCTTGACAAACATAAGACTCAATAATCTCTAACCGTAAATTAACACTTAGGTTTATTAGTCAATCTCTTATGAAATTTTTCAACATGAGTCAGTTTAACCAAGTACCATTAACTGATATAGTCAAGACCCTAGACCAGTGCTGTCCAATGTGGGAGTTACCAGCCACTCATGGCTATAGAACACTTGAAAAGTGGCTAGTCTGAATTGAGATGTGATGTAAATGTAAAAAAATTCCAGATTTCTAAGACTTCATACTGAAGAGAATGCAAAACACTGTGACAATGATTTTTAGTACTGATCATAAGTTAAAGTGATAATGTTTTGGAAATATCAGATTAAATAAAATATATTTTTTTAAATTAATTTCACTTTAAAAAAATTTTAATGTTGTTAATAGTACATTTTAAATTACAAATGCTGTTTTCATTATATTTCTGTTAGGTAGCACGGTTCTAGGCCTGCAAACATCCTTTGTTCAACGGTGATGCCATGAAGTTCTACTTGAAACAATCAATCCCTCTTTTTTATCATCTCTGTTATCTGAATCCAAGACATTCTTCAGTAATACTTTAAAAGAAATCCCTCTAAGGAGGCTCGTGATTCTATGTCAGGAGTCAATAAACTATGGCCCCTTGGCCAAATTTAGCCTACTGACTATTTTAGTACCGTCTGTGAGCAAAGAACAGCTTTTGTATTTTTAAATGGTTCGAAAAACTCTGTACAAAGTGGGTATAGAGGGAACATACCTCAACATAACAAAGGCCATGACACTGCAAAGTTGCAGGATACAAAATTAATATACAGAAGTCTGTTGCATTTCTATATACTAACAATGAACCATCAGAAAAAGAAATTAAAGAAACAACTGCATTTACAATCACATCAAAAAGAATAAAATACCTAAGAATAAACCTAACCAAGGAGATAAAAAACCTGAATTCAGAAAACTCTAAGACAGTGATGAAAGAAATTGAAGATGACACAAATGGATGGAAAGATAGATTGTACTCATGGATTGGAAGAATTAATATTGTTAAAATGACCATACTACCAAGGGAATTTACAAAGTGAGTGCAATTCCTATGAAAATACCAATGGCATTTTTCACAGAACAAGAACAAATAATTTTAAAATTTGTATGGAAACACAAAAGACCCCACAGAGCCAAAACAATCTTAAGAAAGAAGAACAGAGCTGGAGGTAGCATGCTCCCTGACTTCAAATTATACTACAAAGCCACCATCATCAAAACAGTATGATACTGGCACAAAAACAGACAGGTAGATCAATGCAACAGAGCAGACAACCCAGAAATACACCCATACATTTATGGTCAATTAATCTATGACAAAGGAGGTAAGAATATACAATGGGGAAAAGACAGTCTGTTTAATAAGTGGTGGTGGAAAAACTGGACAGCTACATGTAAAAGAATGAAACTAGAACATTTTCTCACCCCCACATACAAAAACAAACTCAAAATGAATTAAAGTCCTAAATGTAAGACCAGAAATCATAAAACTCCTAGAAGAAAATATAGGCAGGACACTCTTTGACATAAATCATTGTAATTTGGGGGGGGGGTGTCTCCCAAGGCAAAGAAAACAAAAGCAAAAATAAACAAATGGGGCTTAATTAAACTTAAAAGCTTTTGCACAGCAAACGAAACCATCAACAAAATGAAAAGACAACCGACTGAATGGGAGAAAATATTTGTAAATTATGTGACCAATAAAGGATTAATACCCGAAATATATAAACAGCTCATATAACTCAATATCAAAAAACACAACAACCTGATTAAAAAATGAGTAGAAGACTTGAATAGACATTTTCCCAAAGAAAACACACAGGTGGCCAACAGATGCATGAAAAATGCTCAACGTTGCTAATTATCAGAGAAATGGAAATCAAAATCACAATGAGTTATCACCTCATACTGTCAGAATAGCTACTGTCAAAAAGACCACAAATAATAAATGTTGGACAGGATGTGGAGAAAAGAGAACCCTCATACACTGCTGCTGGGAGTGTAAATTGGTGCAGCCA